TTAGGCAGCACATGTTAATTCTTTAGATATTGTTTTTTAACATATAAGGGCTTGGTAGGAATGACAGCCTTAGCATTGGCAGGAGCATCGCAGAACTGATTTTGTAATTACAGAAAGCGACTCTCGCCTGTCCCTGCTGGCTCTGCAGTGGTCTGAGGACACAGCGGAGGGGGCATGAGCAGCTCTGAACTACAGGGTACCAAGGCAACTTGTTTGCTGAGACCTCTGCTCTGGGCCCTTCATCCGTCTAAATAAGACAACGTGCACAGAGAACTTAACAAGACTCCATGTTCTGGTAGCTCTGCCATGAGGAGGCTCCAGCGCAGGGTGACCAGCTGGCAGCATGTTCACACTTGTGCCAGAAACGCAATTCTGGCAGTGAAAGAAAGCACAACAACTTGAAAACATAACGAGGTAGAGACGTAGGAAAGCAAAGCAGCATAGACACACTCTTCAGCTTCAGAATGACACATTCAAGAGGCTTTAGGTTGCTGGAGAGTAACTTCTTTGAAAAGTTAGTGGCCAGAAGAATATTAATTTTAATTTCTCAGACACTCAGCCAAGAATATTTTCCTGTCAAAATGAAATTGATTAATTCCCATCCATTTTCAGAAGTCTGTAACAGGTGCAAATCTACCCTAAAACACAGCTGAGGTTTTAGATAGTCTTGGTTAATGTATTTAAGGCAACAAACCTAAGCACTAGCCAGATAAAGAAAAGTTCAGAAAGATGTTACGTGTTAGCCCAGGCAAACCTAAGTCTGCATCACAGCTTCCCCAATGGTCCTTTCCTTTCTCTCAAGAGTATAGCTAGCTTTGTAGACAACCGCTCCTTGTAATCTTCATGCTTATTACCATAATACATAATACAAAAAAAAAAAAAAGCTCCAAAACTGTCCTTCCTTATGTGCCAAAACCTGTCCCAGCCCTGGTGGGCACTTGTTTTGCCAATGCAATACCTGTCTCTATAATCACTGTAGTTCTTAGCATTACTGTTAATATTGTTATTGCTTCTTGCAGTGCCCACTAACCTTGTTGTCCTGCATAATAGCATCAACATGCCCATCCTCAGTATCTGAAATATGGTACTTACACAGTCTTTTCACAACACGGACACCAGTGATTCTTTCCTAGAAGCTCTTGTCCCAGGAAGGCCAAAGGTGGCTTCTCGATTTATGCTTTTAGGGTTAATGGATTTCTCCCATGGATTTTTTTTTTCTCCCAGGATCCAATCTCTGCATTGTTTCTCCATACAGTTCCTAAAGGACTGCTTACAGCACCATCAAGAACCCATAGCAGTTGTCTCCAGGAATACTTCAACGAATAGTATTTGTTTTCTTAAGTTTCTTTTAGGTTCCTTCAGTTATACACCCTAGAAATTCATCCAAGCGCAAGCACCGCTGTCTGCTTCAGCAGGGCACCAGGTTGCCTGTTACAGACAACATGCAACAAGTCTTGCATTAATTCACACGTCCATCCCTTATCTTGACATCTGAAAATGGCACCTTCTGGCAGCTTCCCCTTTGGTATTGTCTTTCTTTTAAGGATGATGTATAGTGGCAATTTTGCTTTATCTGCTAAGACCACCAGCAAAGTGGCAATCCCGTTTTTTCATTGGCAGTATTTTTGATAAGTGATTTGGGCTTTTTTATTGCACGGTAATATGATGTCTGAAACAAACAATGTATGTCTAAAGAAAAAAAGGGATGTTTGATTTGTGTTGCCTGTGTGCATTAGTAAACATTTGTGAATTTTATATATTGCTGCATAGTATTGAAATTCTACTATTTTTTCATATAGTTAAAACCAAATTTATCCCAATGTTGTTTTACATCTAGCATCTGAAGCCTGAGTATTACATCATTTATACATGCCAAAAAATGCTGGGTTTGACTTTCAATTCAGCAAGATCTGTGGCTCTGAAGAAATCTTTAATTGTGATGGGACCCTGAAAGGAGCCCCTTCTAAAACTAATGAGAAATTTTTGTTGAAAAGTTCCTAATCTGATTAACCCATTCTGAATTCCAATATTAATAGAATCATATTATTTTTCTTTCTATAAAAACTATGGAAAGGAATCTACTAAGAAATTTTCATATTTTTTTATGCCATGATGCATGAAGTTTCCAAAGTATCTTCAAAAGGCAGGAATCTACTACTCGAAGTATTCGGTAGCAATGGTAGTCAAGATGCTTTAGACTAGAGAGGAAATTGTACATATATATTATATAATATAAATTACATTATATTTAAGCCAGGAGTGAGTAAGCAGTAGAAAGAGTTCATTCTATCCTCAGCTCTGAAGGAGCCAGTGGCTCAGAGCAGCTGCTTTGGCTGCTTTTGTTTGTCATCCTGAAGAGAAGGAGCAGGAGAGTGGCACCTCACAGGGCTTCCCCTCCCTGGGGTAAGTGGTAGAGGCTAATTAGGCAACATCACTAGTGAATAGCTATACTGGAGTAGCTAAGGAAGATGCTTGTCACCGCTTACCATCTTAATACTGCACCTTCTTATTTAATCTTTTCTAACATCTGCCCATTACTGCAAATCTATGCTTTCTAATGGAAAAAAAAAAAAATCTGATGAGATAAAATGTCATTTAATGTTGAAACTGATAAAGCATTTGATTTTCCCAGTGCTGTCATCCTTAAAATTGGGGTACAAGGCTTCTCCCTCAGTATCCAGCATCCTAATGTATTCCTTTGCAGTGCTAAGAGGTGAGGAGACTAACAGGTCTCCACCCTTGAATGACATAGCCCAGTTTTGGAGATGGAAACACTGGGATCTGTGCAGAAGACCTGTCTTCTGGTGATCAACATAGCTCATGAGCGCTTTCTGGTGTGAACGAATTAGTGGGGAAAGTGCAGGAGCCTGTAGCTTGTTGGAATTACAGGAGTTTGTAGCTCTTAATCTTGCACAACGTGAGGGTCATTCAGCTGCCTTCCTTTCCAGAGACACCTATTTTGTGCTATTTCACAAAAAGTGACACTAAATACACGCAGGAGATGAGTGGGAATGTACTGGGCTTTGTGAAGCTCTGTGGTCACAGCAATCCTTCTTGCAATAAACAGCCTTGCTGGACACACCTGATGTGAGTTATGAGCACAGGGTGCACAGAAGTAGATAAGCTAATTAAATAATTCTGTCTGTATGCATGCCTATGGGTTTCCTGGGATGCAAGTCTGGGAACACATGGTGGAGAGATGCTGCCCTGGTGTGTGGTACAGGGACACGGGTGATTTGGAGCAGATCCACAGATGTGTCCTTGGAGTACTAAAGCACCTCCTGGCTGCCTTGGGATCTGCACCAGGACACCACAGGCTTTCACTGGTAGCAACTCACCACATCTTCATTTCTCCCGCCGCCTTCATTGTGTCCTTTCCCTATTGCAAATGCAGGGTAGCTTCAGGTACCTTGCTCATTAGTCAAAGACAACGAGCAAATGACCTTCCTTAATGGAAGAGTGCCAACAAAACCACAGCCATCTGATGGTCTTATTGTTAATCTCTTGTTAGTCTGCCTAACCTATTGCTGATGCAAACAAAGCAAAAGCAGTTTTGACACTTACGGTATGCTGAAAAAGTCACTGTGGAAGTGTTACAAGAAGGTTTTTCCTTGTTGGTGGATCAGAGAAGACCTTTGGATTTTAAATCCTTTTGGATTTTAAATCCCTGACGTTTGGGAAATTAGCTTTCTGAATTTATATATATAGGTAAATGCTGATCTACAGACACTGATAAGTATAAACTTTTGGTAAAAGAAGCTTTTACCTTCCATCATCACATGTTGTTATGCCACATGATCTCCTTCTGGTCTGCAGTGTCCTCCTTGAGCTGAGGTAGAGAAGGTGATTTTAATTCTTCCTTTTCCTAAAGAAAAAAAAAAAAAAAGGAAAACCACAACTCCCCATAGTCCAGCACTACATCCTTGCCCCTCCCCAGCATGGCAACTCCTTTGCTTCTTGCTTTGGTGCAAGGTTGACTAATGATGTTTCCCCCCCTCCAGGCTGAAAGGATTGATACAGTTTCATGCAAGGGTCTCATCTGGTCTTTCTCATACCAATGCAAAGAGAGAAACACTAGTTACAGGGGCCAGAGCAGAAATCCATGTTTGGTCACCATATTAAGTTGTCCACGGCTTCATCCTTCAGGTCTTCCCGGGGATTTTTCAGAGCTTACTTCTCTGAGATTGTTCTACCAGATGTCTTCCTGCACTTTTTCACTGGAATTTGTGACCCAAAAGACACTACTTACAGTCTTATTTATTTGAACCAGTAGGACTGACTCTGCCAAAAAAAAAAAAATCTTGATGAATATTTTATCTTCCTGGATTTTCCTTCCAGTAAAGAATTGAAAAAACCTGAAATGTCTGAATTTTCCACAGAACGGAAATTCTGGCTCCCCACTAACACTCTGGATGAGATTGAGACTCACCTTCCTATCAGCAAAGTGGCTTCCGATTTTTCTGTTTAAATGTATCATCTTGTGTCTCCTATAAGCTGATAATAATCAAATGGTATCTGCATTAGGTGTGAGCACACTTGCCTTTTCGGAAAGTTCATATTTTGGTATGGATCCAAACTTCACACCTGATGCCCACAGCTAGCGGATGTGAGCAGGTTTTGGAAAATAAAGCTGTGCCATGATGATGAACAACAAATTAGATTATCCTGGAAATCGTAGCAGCGATGACTTCAGCCCATTTAGAGACGTGAGGTTCTCAAATATGGACAAAAGCCAACGCTGGAGGAAGCCATCCAGCCCTACCAGAGCTGAGTAAAGCAGGGTGATGGCTGGGGTCCCAGCCCCGGAGCTGAGGTCATTGGGAAAGCCAATTTTACTCACGGTGTTACACCCCTGCCACCCCGCACATCTGACATAGAGGCGAGGTGGTAGCCAAACCATCTACTGCATTAAAAGCAGAGGCTAATAGAGAGATGCAGAGGGGATGCTGCAAAAGCTGTGAACAGCAGATGACGTGGGCCGGGTGGAAGCCCCATCCCACCCCGGCAGACACATGAGGCACCGCTCTGAAAAGCTGGAACCATGCTACGGGATACACCCTGCAAATGGCTGGTCCATCCAGTCCTTCAGGCAATAAGCCCGTTTCCCCTCGTGGTTCAGGCTCAGATTCATCCGTATGTGGGAGAAAGCGCTTGCCAGTTGCGGTGGAGGCTTTGCCATCAGGACTGAGGTAACCCTTGTAGGAGAGCGCTGGACTAGTGCAGGGGAAGGGCTCCAGGACTCCACCTTCCAGGGGCAACACTGTATGTATGTGATGTGTCTTTAGGCGATTACGGTCGAGAACCATTTGTATTTTAACAAGGGAACGACTGCACAAGTTGGCACAATGGGAGTTTTGCCTGAAGTCAGAGCAACTAAAGCTCCTCAGAGCGTATCGCGCGCTTTGCCCCACTGCCAAAGCTCAGGGGAATTAAACTGCGCGGTGCAGTTAACAGGTACAGTTGTGAAAGCTCTCGGGCGCCTTTTTTTCTGCAAACAAATATGCCCCCCCACACACCCCCACCCCCTCCTTCCACTCGGGCAGTGCAGCACAGGGCTGTTTTTATTATGGTTCTGTCACTTCGCACAGCCCAGTTTTATTTCAATAATAAAAATATAGAAATATAATTAGCATCTTTGTTTTAAGGCACCGTGTTTCTAAATTACCACGTGTGACAACCGTTATGGCAGTGAAATCGTTAAAATCATGTAAATGCTTAAACCATGTAGGCCTGGGAGATTATAGTTTCATTAGAGAAAAGGCTATAAAGTTAGACCTAGGTAATTACCTTTCCCATTAATGCTTGAAAATTCTTTGCTCCACTGAGAAGTGATTGTGGTGCATCATGCCTTCTGTGCTTTTACATTCAAACTGCAGGAGCCTTTATTTCATCAGCACAAACTGCAAGGAAACAGCGGCAGCCTTCCAGGTGTACTTTGCAAATTGGGGTTTAAATGTGGAACACATCAAATTAAAATTCAATATTAATTATTTTGTCTTGCTAGGAGCCTGAGTAGTTTAAAGCAGCAAGGGTAATTGTCTAACTCATTGTATGTGTCTACAGCGAACTTAATCATTATGTCAGCTTCCTAATAAAAGGTTATTATAGAAACAAAGATCCCAATTTTACATATGGTAGGCAAGGGAGAATTCGAAGAGCTAGTCTCCAAGGTAGACTTGAGGTTCTTGACAAATGATGCCCATGCTGTGATCAGATACTTAACAAGAAATCTCGTTATTAACTAGGCCTGTACAGATAATTAGCACTTGAGCTTCAAATTTTAAATCTGGCTTGAGATGTATAATTTATCAAAAGCCCTAGCTCGCTGTCAAAGTCCTATAATAAGGCAGTATTATTGATGAATTGAGATTAAGAGCAGATTGAAGAGAAAATTAGGCCACTGGTTAGTCTGAAAGGTCTGATTTCAATATTTGCAGTACTAATTTGGTATTATTTTGGTAAATGGATGTGGTCCCCAAGTGCTGCATAGTAGAAAAGAATAAACTGTACGTCATTATTCTAACAACAACAACAAAAAAGTATTGTTTACTGTATGCCGAATTTTGCAGCACTAGCAGTCTGGTTAATAAGCTTCTTTACAGGATAAGTGTACCTGTTTTTATTGCATTAATTTATTATAACACATAGAGAATGCCGGGCGTTTATTCCCAGTTAGAAAATTTAGCTTCTTTACATTAAAAATTCTTTACATTAGACTAATGATGATCGAGTGTCCCTATCCCTAATTTAGCTGTTTCGTTTATATCTTTGAATTCTCTCTCAAGCCTTCTTTATACTGGAGCGCAGATAAGTACCATTTTGTATATTCAAGCTACATAAAAAGAGCAATCTTTTTTTAATGATTGCCGGTAGCACTTCATTGCAAGTGGTTCCAAGAAAAAAAAAAAGAGAGAGTGAGTGCATGCAGTCTCGCTACAGCAAACTGCAGCTGCAAAGGTGTTAGATACACATTCACGACCCTTAGTAGGCTAAATCTTTTTGATACACATAATAAAATGACATTTAGGGCAATATCTGATTTCCAGAATTACGTTAGGTAAAATGTAAGGTTGGGACAAATTCTGTTTGTTTTTTTCAGGGTTTAATCCTTAGCCCAAGCACACAGATTGTGTCAGAGAGACACTATGCTTTACCGTATATCCTGTCAGATATATATCAAATGCAACCCTGTATCATCGTATATATCTTATATATCACATCCATAACCTCCAGCAAAATAATAATGTCAGTCGCTGTCTGTTTGCAGGAAACTTTGCACTGACAATCCCTTGTAACCCGTTATTGGCAGCAGCTCCTTTCCTCTCAGTTTCCAGCTGTCCGGTGGGGTATGCCAAGTCACAGCAGGACCTGAGGAGTGTTTGTATTCAACTGTAGCACCGAGCTTTATGGAGATTTGCCTTGTATATTGTGCACTTGCAGACAAGCGGGATTTCCAGGACCCAGCGGGGGCTCCCCGGTGTTTATGCTGAGGTGGTTAGCTAGTTGGCAAATTGCTTTGGGCCAGAAACGTGTGACAGAGGAAAATGTATTGCATTAGCTTTTCTATCAATAACATCTTAACGCTGACTTATAACACAATTGCTTTCATGCTGATCCAGCCTCCTAATTTTAATTTTAGGATTGATTGAATTTTGCAATCAGGCGTCTTTGGTCATACTGGAAAGAAAAGCCTTTTCTTCCTTCCTTAGAAATAATATGCTATTAAAAATATAAGCAACAAAATATAAACAACTTCAATCACTCTAATCAACCATTGACTAATACATATTTACACTGATTGGGAAAGCATCTAATCCTTTGATATATACGTTCTTATAATTTTAAGAAGATTTAAAATAATTTATTCTTTTAGATTTTACTCTGCTGTACACAGTGGAGTGGCGTTTTGCATGACCACTTGAGTCTTGCAGGATTTTTAGTAGATTTGTAAGAGATCCAGAAAAGGAGGGTACTGCAATTCTCAGCAGACAGAAAGGCTCATTTATACTTTTGTGGGGGTTTTCATTCAGTTACTTCCAAGTGCTCTTCACATGTTGTGGACTGATTCTGATCTTGTTTACGTTGAACGTACTTCTGCTATGCATTAGTGCAATTTGAGATTGGGAGAGTCTCCTGGTTGAATTAAGACTTAGATCAGTGTAAGAGGTAAATCTGAAGAGCTTTCAGGGTCATTTAAGATAAAAGTAATCAGTCAGCTACAGTTTATTTAGAAAATTAATTTAGGAAGAGTTTTGTATCTTTAAGTAACATTTTCAAGTGGACTCAAAGCTAAAAAATATTTAGATATTTCAGAATTTGGGAGAAAAACGGAAGTGTATATGCCAGACAGAAGCACAGGGCACATCACAAGGTTTTGTCAATTTAGGACAGTTTGCAAGTCCTCAGCTAAGGCTGCTTTCTAAAAAGCTTAGCTATCCAATCGCCCGACTTTCAAGTCCTTTCCCATGAAACATTCCCACAGCTTGTAAGGGGAGCTGTGCACACAAAAGATCGGCAGTAGAACACGTTTCTATATTTGATTATATTCATATCGCAAATGTAATAACGATATGACACTTTCCGTGATTCGAGGTAGGAATTAACAGCTACTAGTGATCACTGTGCAAAAGAAAAGAATGGAAATGCTTATTATATAATGCCTTGGCATCTTACACCGCCTTATTAAAAACAAATGGGTTTGGTACTCAGGTGGTTTGTACAGTCATTCCTACATTCCTTTTTTAAGTGATTTGGTAATGCTGGCGTAAATGACCACATGTGGGCTGCACTAATAACAACGCAGAAAAGAAGCAAGCTTGAATATTCCTATCGATACGATTACAAATAGCGACTACTTAGTGCAGTGCAGGGTAATAAAACGGGACAAATTCCTTCAGCTAGCCCAGATCCATTCCAACGCTATGGACACTATTGTCATCTGCATGCTTTCCATGAGCTGAGCTATAAAATTCCAGGAGAAGGATTTCCTGCCCTTAGGTATCGCTAGAAGAAAAGCAAAGTTGTGCCTCTAGCCGGTGTGTTCCCCCCACCGGTTGCAAAATTATTAATTTGGCGTTCCTAGTTCAGAAGTGGGGTACGGGAGGCAGAGCCCCGGCTGCTGGGCTACGGGAAGAGAAGGCACACACCTGGGGGGAAAAAAAAAGACAGAAAAAAAAAGCCCAAAACCCCAACATTTTTAAGGAGAAACCTGAACGCTCTCGGGCTGCGTGTTTTGACCTGGCTGAGGTTTGGGACTCACTCTCCCCGCCCCGCCGCCGCCCGAAGCCCGACTCCTGCCCGCGGCGGGCGGAGCGGCCCCGGCTCCCCCGGGCAGCCCTTGCTGCCGGCCGCCGACAGGGGTCTCCAGCGCACCGCGGAACCGCCGGGCCGGGTCCGGGGATGGGGTCTCTGCCGGCCGGGGATGGGGATGGGGAGAGCCCGGCGGGCCCATTGCCGCATCGGGCGGCTGTTGGCCGAGGGCTTTGGGTTCTGTTTGCATCAGGCACCGCTTTCTCCGCTTGTAAAAGGAGCGCGAATGCCGGGAGTGCCGGGTTTTGTCTTTTCCTGGGGAAAAAAAAAGAAAAAAAAAAAAAAGCGAGAAAAAGCGGCCGCTTGGGAGGGAGGGACGGCTTTGGTCTGAGGCAGGGTGGGCACCCAAACTTCCCTGAAATAAAACATTCCGGAGACAGAACGAGGTAAAATAGTGCACGGTTTTCACTTAGCGCACCAAAGCCTCCCTCTCCCTTTGGATTAACGAGCTATTTCCAACAGACCTAATACTGGTACGTTAATATTCAAGCAACAGAAGGCAGAAAAACTCATTTTGTTATAGGCGATAGTAAATAATAGTGCCATTTTGTTACATGAACGAGACATTTGCAAGTAGTTAATTTTTAAAATGTACGCGGAGTTTGGGTTCTCTCTCACTCTCTTTTTTTTTTTTCTAATTAAATGATTCAGGAAGACAACTGTCCGGAAAGCTTAGGGCATTTTCCAACCGGAATACAGCTCTATAGTCTGTGACAATGTAGGGTGGTTGATGAGTTAGTTCTAGAGGCTTCTGAATTTTAATGATGTTGGAGATGATATTGTGTGTCCTTCAGCTTGTTAGAGTGACACTAGCACTCCATAAATCATAATACCTGTGTATTGTAAAATCAATACAAAAGTGCTATCTCAGCGCTAAACCTTAATAAGTTTTTCAGCGCTCTAACAGCTTAAACTTTGCTGTAATGCCATTGGACCTGTAGGTTAGGATCAGAGCATGCTTAATTTGTTTTGTAATAGAGACTTTTCTTTAATGAAG